ATCCACGAAATAAATTCTAGTTGTATAAAGTGTGACTTAAGGATGGAAATCATTTATATGCTTTCCTTCTATTTACAAGTCCTTTTTAAAATTTTTCATTTTTAATGTTTTTTACTTTCTTTTTTGTTTTTGTTACCCAACTTTATTGACTATTTTTGAGTCTTATTGTAACATCTTCGTCTTATTGAATGTTTATGATATTAAATTCGATTTTACTTAAAAAAAAATTTTTTTCTGTTTACTATTTTTTCATTATTTTCTCCTTATACTCATATGAACACACATTATCTATATGGGTACATAATATTATCCTTACATAAATATGTGCATATATAGTTGAGAAAATAAAGGAAGAATATGGAAAAAAAGAGTATGGAAAAAATTATAAAACTAGCCTTGCAAACCATTTCTTTATTTTTCCCCATTTCCTTGTCTTATATTCGTTTTCGCCATTCGTAATATTCTATTGTGTACTATTTTATGCTTTTCAAATTTTATTCACCCACGCTTTCGATATCTCTCCCACTCTCCATTATTTTTAAGCACGTTACGTTCCATGTTATGCTTTATTTTCATATAAATATGTGTATAATTTTTTTTTCTTTTGACTTAAATTTTTCATTTCATATGTATGTACGCATATGAAATGTCCTGCTGCAGGACATAATGTGAATGTGAAAATTTAAATGAAGCACTTGAATTTTAAGGAAATTTTGTGTGTAAGTAAGAAGAAATGTCTAAACAATTTTAAAATTTGAACATATAAGAATTGGGAAAATCAATTAAAAGGGAAATTCAATCAAATATTTTTGAGATATTTATTCCAAATAAATTTTAAGCGAAAATAATGTTTGCAATTTTTATTTTGATTGTCTCGTATGAGTGTTGATGTTCAGCTGGCTTCTTTACTTATGACTTTCAGCTGATTTACTCTAACTGGACTCAACACGCTCTCAGAATTATAAAACAATAAAATTGAAATACCTTCTCCCTTAAAGAAATATATTTCAATTAAGGGTCTGATGCGGAGTTGTAATACCCGAAATTTTGGGAACACAAAAAGACTAATTTTTGAACTCCAATTTAGTCTAAAATAAATTATTTGAGACTAAAATTGAATTTACCATTTTGTCGCTAATTTTATAGAGTGTTTATAAATATATTTTTTTAATTTTTTGCCAAAGAGCGAGATAGCTCGGTTTTGATGTTCGCGAACACAATGTAAGGATAATACGAGAGTATAAATAAGAATATTTTAAGTTATTCTTTCAATATAGATAATATTTGTTGTGCGTATATGCACATATTTGCTACGTATGTATGTATGTTAATATGAGAATAAAATTACAATGTATTTATGTAGATATGTAGGTATGAATGTAGATTTGTATTTTGAATCGTTTTTATATATATACATATAGATTATTATTACTATTATTATTATTATTTGTTATTATTTTCATCTCTATTTTCTATTTTATTTTTTGATAAATGTGAATAGAATATTAAGACGACCGGGGCCCGGCAATGGGCTATAAGTTATATTATTATATAAAAAATAAAAATAATAAAAAGAAAATAGTGTAGAAAAAAAAATTTCTTATTATTTTCTGTTTTTCTTACAATACTGATAGCTTCAATAGGAACCAAAACTGTGAATATTATAAGACCTAACTACATGAATACAACTACTATTATACTATCGAAATGTTGATATTCCATTGAAGAATTTTCATTTTCAATTCATTTTTTTTTATTTTTTCACTCCTGCTCCTTTAGTTTTATTGTTGTTCTTTTAAAAGGAATACATTTAGTACAATTTACAATTTTTTTTTTTTCAGTATTTCGATTTTCTAAGTTATTCATTCTGTTTTTTGTTATTATTGTTTTTATCTATTTTTATATAATATCTCAAAAATAACAAGGAAAAACTAAAAAAAAAAAAAAATATACTTTTAATGGGGTGAAATTATATCACAACTAAAGTATTGAGTTTTCTTTTTCGTTATTGAGTTTAAATGCTAAGGAAATGGTCAAATTTGATCAGCGTTAAACGATAATAATGACAGTATATAAGAAAACAAAACATAAACATCATAATATTACGAAAAAAAAATTAAATACAAGAAAAAATGTAATAAAAATAGAAAATATAAGAAAAAAAAAATAAGAAATACTTAAATATTCTATAATGTTGTTTAGTATTTTATAACAGTATAATATAGATGTACGCGATTTATATAAATACAGTCATCCTCGGATTACATTATGGTACTTAATGTGCTATACGCTTAAATGACTTTCGGGTATTGTTGCGTATTGGGTACTAGTTGCGTATTTCAGTTTCAATGTAGTAGATTAAAACTATGACTTGATAGACCGAAAAAATGTATTTTCAAATCGTGAATTTCTTTTTTTATTAATTTTTATTAATAAAATCGAAAGGCAGATTAATGGATGTCTCTCAATTTAAAGTTTTTACATTGTGAATCATTCAATTCGATTTTAATATTCGATTTTTATAATATGAATCACTTTATTCGAAATTAAAAAGTTGTAATTTTCTCATTTAATTTCATCAACCGAGCATTTCCGATACTTTTATAAGTGCAATTGTCGTTTAATTATTTTAAAAATTAAAAAAAAACCAGATGACACATTTATTCGGGGAAGACTGTATTATCTAAGTGAATATAAAATATAAAATGGGACATTTGATTGGAAACTATGTATGACAATATCAAAATGTACATGTACATCTCTGTATGTACATATGTACATACATATATATGAATATTGTATAATAATAATAATAAAAATATGTTCAATATAAAAGTATAGGGATGAGGTGATCATTTTCTATTATCATTTTAATTCGATATGTCTTCATATAAAGTCGATTTCAAGTTGAATGGTGATTGGATATAAAATGACATTTTTCATATTAAAAATAAAAAAAAGAAAACAATATGTATGCATGTACATGTATTATACAAACATACATACATTCATGTATACAAAATTTATACAGGGTTAATACACAATTTTTTCATTTTTATTTTAATCATTTTTATTTTTACTGTTTTTCTCATGTATATAAAATGGAACAAAAAATAAAAAATTGTATAATTTTATTTTATTTTTAAGAATTGATATCGAAAAAAAAAATATTAAAGGAATTGTATTAAATCGGGGAAAAAAAATAAAAAAAAAATAAGTCGGGAGGACTAAAATAGCTTTATTAAGTAGATTTTTTTTTTTTCTATTATTCTTTTTTTTTATTTTGTTTTTCTTTTTCTTATACTAAATAAAACGATTATAATTTGAAATGAGAATTTATGTACGATTTTTTTTTTTGTTTATTTTTACTTATTTTGCTGCTTTTTCACTCTCTCTTTATTTTTTTTTTTCAATTTAATGTGAAACTAATGTGATATGACATGAAATTAATGTGTGATAATGTTAAATTAGTAAATAATATTAAGAATTAATATACATATGTACATATATGTACAGTAGTGTGAACTAAAGGTGAATTTCCAATTAATAAAAATGACCGAATATTATTTGATCATTTGACATTAATTTGAATTTATATAAAAAAGGTTATAATATTGGTAGAGTTGGTTAGAAAAGCTTTCAAGGATCATTAGTAATTATTTTGATTTTTTTTCTTGTAATTTTCTTAATGAGTAAATTTCGTTCTGTTATGGTCTGCATTCAGTTTGAGAGAGCAAGAGTAATGGGAGGAAATATAATTATTTTGGAGTTTGATCTCTTATTTGTAAAACAGTAGTTAACCTACACAAAAGTTTTTACAAAAATTTGCAAGATTTGCACAAAATTCATAACTTGACAAATGACATTAGAAGTACTAATAAATGGCCGGAAATTTTTAAATATTTTCAATTTTGTAAAAGTATTTTTTCGGTCAAATATACAATTCTGAAATTTAGGATAATAATTTCAATTTTATTAATAAAATAATAAAATAAAATATAAAAATAAAATATTACACATTATTATGTTTAATCAAAAACTTTATTACTCAACTAAATGGTACTTAAAAACCAAGAAGGGAGAAAAAATTATTTGCAAAAATTTCCTTATTTTCGAACTTACTTTTTTTTTAATACAAATAATGTACTACTTAAAGTATCCCGTCCTTTCAGGTAAATTAAAATTGTCATTTAAAATTTACACGCTCTAGCCAAATTTAATTTATTTATATGGTTTTATCTAAAAAATCCTAAATTATACGATCATCGAATTCCCATATTTATTACTTAATTGATAAAATAGTCAAATAACAAAAAATAAAATTATATTTTTCATAAAATTCGAAATTTCAAATTAATATGAAGAAAAATTTCTTTTTCATTTATTTACTACATTAATTTTTTTTTCTCAAATGTTTTCATTTTTATCAAACTGTTCAAATATTCAAACTATAGTGTGAAAATTTATTATTTTGACATTAATGTGTTTGTCATATGATTTTGATTTCACATTAATTCACAGGCACACAACAATATTAGAGAAGAAATATTTTTGTGTCATCCTCCTTTAATTCATTCGTTCATTCATTTTGTACAAAACAAAAAAGAAGACAAATGTCAAATTTATATAATATTTTTATGTATTATTTTTTTTATGTACAAAAAAATTATAAACCAAAAGAATAATATAATAATGCTAATATATACACTAAAAATTAAATAATAAAAACATAAATAATGTAGAAAAAAAAAAAAAATAAATCCAATTGTTTTTTTTTCCAAATTTAAAAAAATTTCGTTTTTTTTGTTTTTCTGAGTGTACAAAACGAAAATATGAAAAATTATTAAGTTAATGTAAGAAATAAATTTTAATTTTAATGGAATAATTATATACAAATATAGAGAATATTTTTTATAGTGTAAGAAATAAATAAAAAGGAACAAAATAGGAATATAATTTAAAAAAATTTTCAAATTTAAAAAGAAATAAAAATGACTTACCAAAATTATCACTATGCATACCGGAAGGCCCGGCTAATAAACCAGGAATATTTTGTAAACCTAAAAATGCACTTGGGAACGAATGAGATCGATTATCTAATGAACCATTAACACTATCGATTGTACCATCTAATTGACCATCACCACGATCAGATGGTTCAGTATCGCTACTATTTGAATCTTCACCAGTACTTTGTGCTTGTAATGATGCGAGGTCTGGATGTTTCTAATTAATTTTTTAAATTTAATATTAGTTAATAACATTTTTTTCATATTTTATTTATTTCTGTGGCCATAAGAAAAAGCTGTCTTAAATAAAATAAATTGTTTTCAGTAAATATCTTAAAATATCTTAAAATAGCTGCTTAACGAAAACACTAAGATTTAAAATTAATAAGTTATTTAATTATAAAAAAGCATTTTCTTATGCTTTATTAAATTTGTTAAAATTTTACTAGTTGTAGGTTTGAGCACCAAAAAAAACCCACACATTCTAGTATCTTGATTTAATACTTTAGTTAATTTAAGCCAGTTTTACCTTATTTCTACAGATTTCTGTTGCTTTTTTTTTTTCAAATATAACATATATAAAAACTAACTTGATTAACTCCTAATTGTTGTGCTGAATTTTCTAATGCTTGTCCTAATAGTGTATCTCTTAGTTCTAAACTTCTGTCACGATCTCTTGATGTATCACGACTTGAATCACGTGTTCGATCTCTTTCTCGATGCAATGGATGTTGACCTAACGGTAAATCATTACTAACTAGAAAACGTTCTGGACTTATACCATGTTGTGCTCTATATAAATCAGCACTTTTAATACGTTTCTGTGGTGGTGGTGTTAAATGATTTTGTCGTTCATCTATATCCCATGCATTCTATTGTTATTTATAACAATATTTAAATTAATAAGAAATAAAAAAAAGATTATTATTAATATTCAAAAATTTTTTTGTTTTAAATATGTTGAAATATTTTAATAAAAAATCAAAGCAAAGTTAATTCAACAAAACGTCGCTCAAAGCGAGTTATTTCAGTTTTTAATCTTTTCATAATTTTTTTTTAAATTTCAATTAAGCTCTTTTGTATTTTTCTTTATTAAATAGCGCATACTAAAAATTTTTAAAAAATTTGTATACACGGCTTGAAAAAAGTATTTCTTGCAAAAAAAATCAATGTAACTTTTAACTATTTGAAAATATGATATTATTTGAGCAGAATGAATTTTGGAGTAAAAATTGGAATTCATAAACATAAATTCTGCAGAAGAGCAAGAGAAAATGAATCGTATGAATTAAGCATCGCAATCATAAACTCAAGAGATATTCTCAAATTTTTTCAAAATTTTATTATATACGAGTAAGTATTTCATTTAATCAAATAGCATCTCGTTTTGTCACACATCAAACTATTATTTAGCATAAAAACGATTTCGTTTACAAAATAGGCTTTTCTTTAAAATTCAAATTTTAAAGAATTGAAATAAACAAAGAAAAAAAATTTGAAATTTTGTTTTTTGGAACTGTGACGTTACTTTGATCCGTCTCACCGGCGACGCCTTTAATTCTTGTATCGCTGGTGTTGTAGACGATGATAATGCAGTTGTACTCACGCTATTTGATAAAGCTAAAGGTGTTTTAATTGATATCGCCGGAGATGACGCTGACTGACTTGTGCTCGTATTTGAATTTGTATTTGTTATATTTAATGATGATGGTGTATTAAGACTTGCATTTAATAATAATGAATTTGCTGTTATTGGTTGTGGTGTTATTGTTGTTGATGATGATGATGTTGATAAATTATTATTTATATTATTATTATTATTACTGTTATTATTATTATTATTGCCGCTATTACTGTTATTATTGTTATTATTATTGTTTGTATTATTATTTATATTATTATTAGAATTTGTATATGATGTATTTGTTGTTGAAGTTGATGTTATCGCAGCTGGTATATTTGATGAAACCGGACCCATAGATGTCGGTGAACCATTAACATCAGCTAACCCACGTACTTGTAATAATTGGGCTGTTTTAAGAAAATCACTTAAATGTTCTTGATTAACATGAACTTCACCATTATACATGAATCTATAATTAAAAATTAGAAAATAATTAGTAAAATTTTTTTTTAAATTATTTTTTATTATAATTTAAAATATCGTTTGTAAGGAAAAAAAATTAACATTTTCAAAAATAATATAAGTACTTAAATATTTCGTTACTAATTAATAAAATAAAAATTCTAAAATTTAGTTAAATTTAAGCAAGTTTGCAATTATAATTCGCATTAATATTGTAATTATGAATGAAAACGAAAAGAGTCTATTATAGAAATATGTCTTGACAAGTTAGCACAATAATTATGAGAGCGCAATGCAATAGAAAAATTTCCGACGGGAATTTATGAAATGTCTATGAAATGTCCACCTATATAAAATTTAAAAGTTTCATGCTTTAACCCATTCTTTTTACTGTTTTATCCGTTTATTTTGCAGTTGTACGAAGAAATTTTTTTCGTTTACTTGCCTAATAAAATTTAACAACGATATTGTACAATTACTTTTTACAATGCAGTAAATATTTTAAATGTATGCATATGAAATGTACATATATGAAATTATTAATTTTGAAAAATTTAAGTTGTATTATTTATCAAAACATCTTTTGACATATATAGCGTTACTTGTATTTCAGTTAATATTAATAGCAAATGTCATAGTTTAATAAGGAAAAAATTTTTTTGAAAATTGGAAATTTTATGTATTTTGAAATTACAAATTAATGCAAACTTACTCACGTATATTATATATTTATACAAGATAAATATTTTGATTTTAAATATGTATATATTTGTGTTTTATAATGCATATTAAACTATTTAATATATATGTATGAATGTACCATGAGAATTCTATACCATTAAAATGAAATTTGTTAATGGGAATAAATATGACCTTTTTTTACCCTTGTACACATTCGAAATACATTCACATACATTTATTAATCAAAAATTGTATATAATAGAACAAAAGGAAAGTAAAAATCATTTTCAAGTTAAATTAAATACAAGTAAATATCCTTACGCATTAAAGCAAAATAACAAGAAAAAAGAACCGAAAATAAATATTAAAAAAAAACACGTGTATCTACTTATATATTAAAATGTAAATTGTACAGTCTTCTATTTGAAAATAATGTCCTAAATATACATTTAATTGTTATAAAATATATGTATAAATATGTGTACATTTATATAGAACTATATATTAATATATTAAAATGTATTTTACCTTAATAAACTTTCAACATCTTCGGATTTAACATCACGCAATATAACAATCGGATGTTCACATGGATTTGCTTTCAACAATTTCCTAAAATATGGGCTACAAGCACTTAATACAACTTTGTGAGCTCTATATGATCTTTGATCACAGGCTAATGTTACATCAACAAAATCTTCTTCATCCCTTAAATGACGAAATGATGATAATATTGATGTTTGAAAATCATTCCATTTTAAGGCATATTGTTGTTCAGATGGTGCTGGTGATACTGGTGGTGGTGGTGCTTCCATTTTAACCACTGATGTATTATTATTTTCATTTGTTTGTAGTTGCGTTGATTCAGTCATTATTATTAATTTTATTTAATGTTGTTTTATTTTTTAAATAATGTTTTTGTTATTTTTATTTCTTTTCTATTGTAGTTTTTAGTTGTAATCTGAAGGATTTTAATTTTAAAACTTATTTTTTTTTGTTTGTTTCAGATGCTCTTCTGTGCTTTAATTGGATTTTATTTTAGTAATTTTTTTTTGTTTTTCTTATTTTATTTAAATTTTTGCAACAAATATAAAAAGAAGATTTGAATTTTCTTTTGTCTGTTGCTAAGTATATCATTAATTTTATTTTTTATATACTTATTTATTTAATAAAAAATCATCTTTTATATTGTAAAACTATAAAATTTCGGAATTCAAAAAGTTTAAATTTAAAATGCGCCATTTTTAAAACACTTTCATTTATTTATTTTTGTATACTTTGTAGCACTCTTGCGGCAAATATTTTAAGTTTTAAATTAATTAGTTTTTTTTTTTTAAATTTTAATTATTTTTTGAAATTTCTTTTTTTTTTAATTTAAAATAGGAAACTGTTATACATACATAGTTCTTTAAAAACAAAGAAAAGAAAAAAATAAACACAGCCAAATTTTTTTTATTTTTTTTTTTATAAACTTAACACAAAAAACAGTTACCGCTATATTATTATGTATATTGTATAATTTATATGTATTTAAAATTTCTTGTTATTTTTATATATGTATGTATGTATATAAAAATTTGAATTACACAGTTGAATAATGGAAAACTATTTCTTTTTTATTCTGTTCTTCTTTTGCCATCAATATATACGGGGCTAATTTACAGGAAGTAATGAAACTAAATAAAAATATATGCGTATATTTCCTCTGGTGGACGGAATCTGAAAATATAGAAAAAAAGAGAAGAAAATTGTATTATTCTATATAACAGTATTTAGTTTACATAAATATCTATGTATGTATAAATGCTAAAGTATTTGTATACAATTATTTAGTATGCCGTCTTTTATTTTATAAAAATATAATTTTTTTATTTTTTCATTATTATTATGAATATATTTTTGTATATTTCCATGTAAAAAGAAAAAAAATTTTTAATAATAACATTTATAGTGATATCAAGTAATTTCAATAAAATCTAACTATTATTTGAAATTGAAACGTGATTCTTTACAAAAAAAAAAAAAACAAAATGCAAAAGGAAATATTTAAATTATTTTTCATCCTTAAAGGGTATATGTATTTCAAAAAAAAAAAAAAGAAAAAATTTGAATTTAAAAGTAAAGAATTTTAAGAAGGATAATTTGAATATTGAGACAAAGTGACGCGATTACAAATTACAAATTATGTAAGTAATGTTTTTTTTTTTCTTTAAATGTTAAAAATGGTGATAAAAAAAAATTTATTTAATATTATTCAATAGTTATTATAAATTTAGACTTTAAATTTAAATTACATACATTCTTAAGTGTTGATTATTTTGTTTTTTTTTAACAATTTTATTATATTAATTTTTGTTTAAAGAATGACAAATCAACCAGATTTCCGAAATTTCTGCTTATTAGTATCTAAAGATAAATCGTAAGGGTTATTATTTTTGTTTACGGTTATAATAACTCCGAGTTTATTTTCGAAAATATAGTTTAATCAAAATTTAGAAACTGAGTATATAATTAAGAATTGTTTAAAAAAAAGTCCGGCAATACGCATAATATTACTCAGATTTTTATTTTATACCATTTTAATCAATGTATTTTATTGTTTTGTCTCACTTTTTCCCTTAATTTGGTATATTTAGTTATTAGACTCAGTACCTATATACAATATAACGAATAATTAATATAATTTTACTATTTTACTAACAATAAATTTAAAAATACTAAATTAATATTTGATTTTACTTTAGTCCTTTAATTATTCTACATGTATAATATGTAAAGAACAAGAAATAAATTATTCAAATTAAAACAAAGTAACAATATTAAGGTAAAATTTGAGTTTTGTTTATAATTTCAAGCAATATATCCGAGATACCGTCGGTGCCTTTGCACCTTTCAACAAAATTTTCATTGTATATATAAATATATAGAAACGCATATCCATACATATATATATAAATATATGTATGAATGCATAAATATGTATATATTTGAACACAACACGTAAAATTACATTCGTTGGTCATGAAAAGTAACAATTTATACCTAATAAAATAATATGTAATATAAAAAAAATATAAGGGAAATTTATTAGTAATAAATATTTAAAGTAATAAAATTATGTATGTATATACATAGTACATGTACTCGTATATATTATGTACATTAAAAAGTCATGTACATTTATAATTTAGGTTTATAAAATTAAGTGAATATAATCTGTATATGAGCCTGTAGTATAAAAAATCGCCGAAATTAATTAATAAATTAAAAAAAAAATAATTTCAAACTTAAATAAAGAAATATAAAAATTTTAAAAGAGAAAAATGAAAAAGGGCTGTAAAACAATAATTTTTTGAAATATACAAACAACTGCCAACAAGGTGTTTTAAAAATTTATATATGTATGTACACATATGCATTTTTGTATTATTTAATTTTATGATTATAGGTAATTTTTTTTTATTGAGTAATACAATTTAAGTTTCAATTTTAAATACTAAAACGTTAAAAACATTTGATTGGGGAAGATTTGACTTAAGAAAACATATTATAACGTGATGTGTGTTTCACTTTAGTTAACTCCAAGAATTCAGAAATTTTTTTAGTTTTTTGTGTAATTTTTTTTTTTAAGATTTAAAGATCGTTCACTCAATTAAGTCTAATTTTATTATTACAAATTCGCATAAAATACAAATTTGTTATATTTTTTATATAACAAATTTGTATTATTATATAACAAATTTGTAATTTAAATATTCCAAAATTTAAATGAAAGTCTCAATCTGCCAGTTCGATTGTGCACGTCCGTGATCATCTAATTCTCACCAAAGAAAATCTATGAAAAATATTTGAATATAAATCTTAAGTTAGCAGGTTCTTATTGAATATGAACCATTTTTCGAAGATGAAAATTTGTAATTTTTAGAACTTTAAATTGTATACCTTCCTTAATAACTTATTTTCGAAAAAAATTTATACAAGACAGATGGAAAGTAAGGAAAAAAAATTAAATTATTAAAACTCAATAAAAATATTTTTTTGTTATCAAATCCTTTATTGATAATTCGATTGTTATACAATCCACTTTTTTTAGTTAAAAATAAAAATTTTATAAGACAATAATTTTAAAATCAATTTGTTTTTTCTTAGTTTCCTTTTCTTGTACCAGCATACATAAAACCCATAATAAACCCTTTTTATTAAAGGTAAAAAAAATTTTATAATGTACAATCAAAATTCAATCTTTGGTATTTAAATTATAAAAAAAAAATGAATTATCAAGGAATAATTTTATAGTTTTAAATGGAATTTTGTTCGTATAAAACAGAATTGTAACTGTAATTGTAATAATTTGGTTTTAATTAAAAAATTTCCATTTAAATGGTAAATTTTATAACACGTTTCACTTAGTTTTACTTTTATTTTGTTTTAAAATTTTAAAAATTAAAAGTAAAATAATTAAACCCTTTTTCATTTGAACTTTTAAAATTTTTTTTATTATTTTATTGAAAACTAATTTTTGTATAATAAAAGTATAAATTTTCCAATAAATTGAAATTAAATTAACACCCTGTATAAAAAGAATATTTTTACATTGTAAGAAAATTTAAGTTTTTTTTTTTTTGTTCATGCTCCAACATTGCTGCTCGAGCTCGATTTATTGAAAAAATTTCATACTATAACAGTCAATTACGGAACTCAATTGAACATTGAAAACTGTTAGGTTTATCAAAGCAGAAATCGAGAGCATAGGTAAATTTTATTTTAAGCAAATACTAAACAGATTTTTAACATTGTGGAATTTGACAAAATTTTTGACTCACATGAGAAACTAAGCGAAAAACTGGTTAGAATTTGAAGTGTCTAAACCAGACATTTTCTTACATATAGTTGTTAAAATGTAAGTTATTGTATTGTTATTTTAGGACATAAAAAATATGAAATTGGAGAACCAAAGCTTAAAGAAGAAATGCAAGATATATAAAACTTCTTTGTTAATGTTTCAAAAATACAATAACGTAGATTTTAATACTAATAAATATGGATTCAAATTGCATACGTTTGCATACACTAATTTTAACTTTAAAGTAAAAAATTTTTAAAAATAATACCTGAACCCGACCCCAAAACGCGTTTATTTTCAAATTGTTATTTAGATATTATGTCTAATTCATGTCTTGGATTAAAAAATCGAATTAAAAAATTTAGTTATTAATCATTATTATAAATCATATAAAATTTAATGTACCTACTCTAAATTAACTTGCATATATATAGATTTCGTTAAGTTTTAACTGTACATAATTAGCTTTTAGTTATTAAATTACAATATCATTCCAAAAACTTAATAAAATTTTTATTTCATAAATTCCAATATGCATAAAACAAAAAAACGAAAATGTTATAATTAATAATTGAAGGATGCGAAAGATTTGAAAGATAACCAGCTATACCGTGATTAGTTTTTTTTTTTGAATTTATGCGCACTATGATTTACCGAAAAGAGTCAAATTTACATTTTAAATGCAAAAATAAGCAAAAGAAGAAGAAAAAAACACAATAATTTTTTAACTAATCATTTGTTACTCTTGTAATTTAAAAGATTTATTATTTATTTATACAATACGTTGATTTCTTGATAATTTTGTTTTATTTTTTTTTCTAGCGGCCGTCCTAAATATCTTAATTTTATTATAGAAGATAAAATGCATTAAAAAAGATTATAAAATTTAAAAGTTCACATGTATGTAAGCATATAGCTTTTAAGATTTCTTCTTTTTTTCTCTTTTTTATATTTTCAATTAATTCAAAATTATATTATATATTATGTAGTATAACAGTTAGGAGAAAAAAAATGAATTTATATTTAAATTTTATTATTTTTATTGAAAATAAAGAAAAAAAAATTATTAATAAAATTTGATAGCTATAATTTGAAACGGGGAGTTGATTTTTGTTTATGCTCTTCGTAATGTGAATGCTATAAGTTTAATAGCCATAGGTATTTATAATATAGTTTTATAGTAGTACAAATTTAACTGATAAAGAAATATTAAGAGCAGAGTTATTCAATTATCTCGAATGTTTTTGTGTTTAGGGGAATATACTTGGATTTCGAAAAATTAATTATGTTTTTATATATGTGATGTCATCATAAGATTCTGTTCACGAAGAGGTTTTACTTAGTTAGTTGTTGTTTAATTAGTCTATCACAATTAATTGAATTACCTGACGAGATTAATTCATACACTCTTATTATAGAGAATATTGTATAATTTATTGTAGCCGCATGTTAAGATTTAATAGAATTTTGAACTCTATAATTTTTTATATAACATTCTATAATTTGTTATATTAACCATGTTCTTAAAAAAAAATTAAACAAAATTGGAGCTAAAATTTGCTTTAAGCGTCTCATTCTGTATATCATCTCTTACATGCCGGGAGAAAAATATATAATTTCTTATAATATTATACATGTAATTTTCAAGTGAGAAATAAATGTTTTCCATATTATCAATATAATTTTTTGTAACCTTGGAGACGAACTCTATCTGTAGGCCCTTGAGAACTGTTTCCGCGTGGAGGAGTGATATCTTGAAGGTGGCCACAAGCAACTCCAATTAGCAACCGCCCTACATTTGCACAGAAGGTGCTGCCACATAATCACATTTATATCATTCTTTACCTTTTTAAAAAGATATGTAAAATTCAGTTGC